AGAACTGACAGCTTCTAACGGCCCGTACCGTGCATATATGTTAATCGGTATCAGGACAAATACCCCCCCCCGGACATTTAGAGGAGGAGTTAGAGGACGACGGAGAAAGTAGTGGAGGATAAAGAATAGGAGTGGGAGAAGAGGAGGTGCAGGTGGTGGTTGAGGGAAGAGGGAGAGAAGCAGGGGAAAATGTGATAGGAGGAGAGTAGGAGGTAGAGGCACCCTCCCCTACCTCCACCTCCCCTACCTCCTCCACCTCCTCTCCTCCTCCCCACCTTCTCGCCCTCCACCACCTTCTCCTCCTCCTCCTCCTCCACCTCCTCTCCTCTTCTCCTCCTCCTTCACATTCTCTCCCTCATCCTCCACCTTTTCCCCACCATCTCCCCCCGCCTCCTCTACCACCTTAGTCCTCGACCTCTTCCCTGCATCACTGTTCAACAATGAATAATAAGCACCAAGTGAGTATTTGTCCGGGGGAGGGGTAAATGTCCGGGGGGTATTTGTCCGGGAGGAGGGTGATTGGCCGGGGGGTAATTGTCCAGGGGTGATTGTCTGGAGGGTGAATGGCATGGGGGTAATTGTCCGGGGGTATTTGTCCTATAACCGTTTAATGAAACACTTATAGTATCGAGTAGACATCAATGGTGATATACAAATTACAATTACAACTGAAGCGCACAAACATTATTTTTCAGTTGGTACCAGATCAGCCGATCTTCTTAACCGACGACAACAATAGGGCGGTGTTGCCCGATACAGATGGTGGATTTGGCGTGAGGCTGTCTCCTACCAATCACTACAAGGTGACGGGAACGCCGCGTCCCGAGACAGCCATCACGCTCCAGGCCACCCCACATGTAGGCCTACCAGCACCAGCACCAGCACCTGTGCAGTACTCGGCTCCGGCAGTACCAACTAGTTTGTTTGCAAATGGTAAGAGTAAATAAATGTATAAGTAGAAATGAAATAAAACTAACCGTCGACTTGTAATTATTATTGAGCATACAATCTGATTTCTTATCAATTATTTCCAAACTTAGAGTGACTAGTACAGCTCTTAAGTCTCTGTTGATGTTTGTTAACAGGTGGCAGACCAAGCTTTTCAATGCCTGGGAGACGTTCTGTTAGACGGTTAGTAACTTCCAGTATATGAAGCTCTATCGAATGCAGTGTGCAATACAGTTTAGTTGAGAACGACATCAAGGTTTTACAAATCTTTGTGTTGAAAAATAAGGATTTTCGTTAGATTAAATTCGTTAAATAAATTGATAAGTTTTGTAAGAGCTCTTGGCAAGTCACTTATGGGGACAAATCCTAAAAGTTGTAATAAATTCATTATAGTCATTATAAGTGTGGGATTATATATAGGGGTCTAACAATTAATGCATCGAACTATCGATTCATCGCAATAGTATTTGGCTCAATAGCAAATAATGCCAATGCATCGATAGTAAAATAGAATATCAACAGTTATTGCCAATAGTAAACTGAACTATCGATTGTTATTAATAGTCTCAAATTAGAATCAATGGACTAGTTATTCAACAATCTCTGCATACATTGAAATATATACAACTGGAACCAGCATAGTGCTTACTACACGCACATATACCCAGTTTACATTAGAAAACTCGCTCACCAGCTAGCTAGTGCATAAGAGGTAACTTGACATGAGGAACACAGGTTATACGCAATATTCTGTTCCAATGGTTGCTAAATTCTACAACTTCCTGGTAAACCAATAGTATTGAAAGTACTGCAATAGTATCGTCAATAGTATTTTAGCTATTGCAATACTATCGCAATAACAGAATTGCACCCAATAGTCATCCCTAATTATATACCTTTACTGGTCTCGCCATCATTATTTAGTTCATCAAGATGTGACATATTGATCATGACATATTTTCTCTATATTCTCTATATTCAGTAACTGACAACTGTAGGTATACTTTGTTAATAAAGGAAAATTCAAGTCGTCGACTTGGTCGATGGGCGGCTTCAGCCATGCCGGACCACATTTGTGGTCCTGAAGGACGGCGAGTTCTCGGTAAACTGTGTGGCAGAGAAGGTTGCTGAATCGCTCAATTGTGAGGAGAAGGCATTCGTTATCCTCAACTCAAGGAACCAGGAGATCCAGGACTGTCAAGCCACACAAGGTAATCCCTGGACAGAAACTAGATACTTTGCTACTTTCTGAACATTAAAATATCTCGTAAAGGCGGGCTTCCGTCGGGCTTGCGAGCCGACTTGACCGGAAGCAACTGAATTTCGTGCAACTGGAAGCGATCGGCAGCGACTAGTGGCGTCCAATTGCCCACTGTTCTATTCCGAGCAACTAGTGGCGCACTGCGTCGCAGGCAGCCGCGTCGCAGTCGACCGACCTAAGCACTGCAGTTGCAGCCAGTTGCTTCCAGTCGAGTCGACAAGCCCGACATAAACCCCCCTTAAGGATACTGTTCGGATAAATCCGCCTAATGTGTATTGCATTCGATCAAGGATTCATAAGTGTTGGTTTCCCCTTCAATGACTCACCTCTTGTGGACTGAAATCTCTCAATTTTACTATATGTATTTGCCAAGAAATAAACATTGTGGAAAAAAATATTTTCAGACCTCGAACATTAAAAAAATTCCTAGTGACTATTTTAATGGTAATGGTGGTCTGGAGAAATATTTTAACAATAATTTATATCTTGCTTCATCCAAGTACATGTACACATAGTTTGCTGTTATAACACTTTGAATGAATGAGTAATAACACACATACTTCTGCTCGTCTCATACCTATATCTTTTGTGTACATACCCAAATAGAATAACCATTTATAATTTGCTCATGTTCAACAGCAAAAGAATTCTGGCAGGCCTCAACAAGGATTGTTAAGGACTGCATGGAATCAGACTTTCTTGAATGGCAAAGAAATCGTGCTGGAAAAAGAAGGTTTGTGTATTTCAGATGTTAAAGGCAAATTTAAGACATGTTTATACACGAATTGTTGTGTGGACAAGGTTTCATACAGACACCAGGTAATATATCTATCACATTTCTAAGAGGACACAAGGAGGGGCCGGGCGCTCAGAGGACCTGGACGAGCTGGAGGAGCGTGTGCGATCTCTCGTACAGGCCACACGGGTCACTGAGGGGGCTCAGGTCGGAGTCACCCTCCCTCTACCACTAAAGGACCTCACGAGGTTAACCGAAGCGTTATCCTGTGTGGTGTGCAAAGGTATTTAATTTTGCTTAAGGATATTTCTAGGCGCATTGAGTTTATATTTAAGCCATAACTTCACACCTAATAAGATAAATGTGATAATTTTAAGAATCCCAAGAAAATTATATTGCATTCGAAAATGGTATTATAAGCACAATAGCAAAATATTTGTCCCCTTTCTTTCAAGTCACCAATAATATAGCGCAGGGCGTCAAGTTCCTATTTTTTCCTATTTTCTGGGTAATTCCTATTTTCTCCTATTTTCTGGAAAAATTCCTTTTAAAATTTTTTCTTGGGGGAGGTCCCCTTAACCCCCTCCACCCCTAAGTGGCAACGTGCCTTAGACACGTCGCATAAGCTGCCTTCGGCATCTTTTTATAAAAGTGCTCTTTATTTTTTACTGTACCCTCCCCTCTTTTTTTCAAAAAGCCGGATCTGCCTATTTTGGAGTAGTCTACATGTATAGGTGCTTATGCACGTATAAACTGCATATCAATTTTAACATGCATTTCTCATTAAAACCTCAAAATATTGTTTGCATGTGATGTAACTCCAAATATGTATATTAACTAGAAACGAGCAGTTGTCGCCAACTACATGTATTCCCCGTGATCTAGTATGAATGGAATATCTCTGTAAGGACGTAGAAGGCAGATATTTAAAGTTAAATAAGTCACAAAGACAAAGGTTTGTTAGACAACTGGTGTGCCTCAGATGTGCAAGTATATGGAATCTGGTTTTGCTAGGAGGCTGAAGAGGAATGTAAGTCGACGGTGAAGGTCGAACTAAGGTCAAGGGCAGTGGTGGTTTTGGTATGCGACAGACCTTCTCCCCAAGATGTGTAAGCATACCAAGTTTGGTCGCGCTAGGTCAATTAGGGGCTG